ATATTTTATATAAAGTAGGGTTATTTGCAATATATCATATATATATTCAACTGCACAATGGAATCCTGTGAACTCCATCTCATCCTCCAACCTTTCAGGCTCCTGGAAATGAGGTCGTATGCACTTAACTGCACAGGAATCAAGGACGGTAATGTAACTCCTATGTCCCTTCCAAGGCCTGAAGGCAATGTGCCTGCTTTTTTTATGATCTGATTCTTCTTATGCCAAGGCACCATACTGCTGCCTTTATTGCCATGCAGCTCATAACACCCAGTAATTCAGACAAACTGCCTGGAATCCTTGTTGTTCCACAATGCACTTTGGACGGCTCCTTCATATTTTCAACTTCAACTGCCTCCAAATATTTACATTTTACAAACAGCCACCTCTTGGAAGCAGATATTTTCCTCCTGCTATCACATTGTCTGGCAGTAGCCATACAAGCACCTTGTAACCATTCAATAGTAGTTATTTTCTTTAGTCATAAATACTGAACGTCGGTAAATGAAGGGCAACAAAACAAGTGTTGAACATTGACCTTCTCAATCTGCACCCAGAAAATTATCAACCTGCCACGAGTCAAGACATAGAACATTATTTCAATTTTGAGCTTATTCACTCTTTAACGTTTATGGCTTCATCATACTATCTCCTGCCCATAACCACAAAATAGTTTCAAATATGCACACGTTTTCAATACTGGGTGTATTAGGTATAGAAATTCCTGCAGTTACTTGTATATCTCATCAAATGCAATATTATCGTAGTTAACACAACCATTGTTATGCTCTAGACAAAAACATAAGTGAATACGGCATGTCCCAGCCTCAAAAATCATATACTTGGGAGCAGACACGTTTTATGCAAGCAGTTAGTGGAGGTGTATCTAATCCCAACTTTTAATTCTCTTCATAATAACATCAGGATACGTAGAAGCAGTGTAGAAGCTAGAATAATAACTTCTGAACCAAATTTATTAACAGAGCAAGACAAAGTAAAAGGGTGAGTGAAC